GCAGAGCTAAGATATAGACTCAAACCTCGCAGCTTCCGTATTATTCCTGAGTCACCTGGATTTTGTATCCAGCCTACTTTGATTCTGGTCTTCATGAGTAAGCCAAGATGAAAACAGTGATTATCAAAGTCGCTTTGTACCCATTTAAGTACTATTGGTGTAAAAAGAGAGACGGGGTGGTCTCATAATATAAAACTGGTCTGCACTTCATACTAGCTGAGCTAGTAGCTCTCCTTCAAGTCGGTCCCCTGGGTGTCGTGGTAAGTGACGTGGAGGTTTGGGTGGTTGCCAGGCTCAACAGCTCCAGGAGGTGACAGGCTTTCTTACTGCCATCCAATATTCAGAGCCAAGTTCTTACTCACGGTGTGGCTGAATCCTGAAAGTCCAGAAGTTAGTTTACTGTTCACCTTCTTTTGTCCCAGGAACTCTGTGGTGGCAGCCAGGGGCCACTTGTCGTGCTAATCTAGTGAGATAGTTCAGATGGCTCCTTGGTCCACTGATGCTTTAAAGCCTCCAAGGTGAGCAGAAAACTGTCAAGGCCTTCACCCACTCAGCCATGTGCCAGTCCCACAGACGCACAGAGGACGTGAGATGGTTTATCTGTTCCCCACTTCAGTCTTAATTGGCCTTTGTCTCTCGGCTGTGGCATGGGGTCTCTGTTTTAATGGAAGCCTTCAAAATGCTTCATGCCTCTTGGACTCCGCTCTGGTTGGTCCCTAAAGTTACTCTATTAATCTAAATGTTGAAAAATCAGGGATTCTCTTTGGTTTTGTTCTTTAGAAAAGTGGCTCTATTTTTCTATGTACTTTCTTCTTATTGCACTGTGGGGTGTTTGTTTGTTTGTTTCTGAGATGGGGTAACAGAACCCTGGCTGTCCTGGTACTTGCTTTGTATACCAGGCTGGCCCAGAACTAAGATCTGCCTGCCTCTGCCTCCTGAGTGCTGGGATCAAAGGTGTGCACCACCACACCTGGCCTTCAGATTACTTTCTTGCATAACAAAGTTTCACCGGCCCAGAGGGGCACTGCCAACAGCGAGCTGAGCCCTCCCACATCAGTTATCAATTAAGAAAATTGCACACAGACAAGCTCGTAGGGTAATCCAATGGAAGGAATGCTTCAATTAAGGTTCTCTCTTCCCAAGAGACCCTAGTTGGTCTCAAGTTGACAAGACTAACCACACAATATCTAATCTGTCTGGTTATTGGTATCCTATGAAGATAATTAAGACCATGATGTGAAAATCTGCTGTTATTATATTGTCATTAAAATAATTGCCATAGCCTGAACCAAGCTTGGATGCATTTAGTAGATTTATTACTCTCTGTGTCTGTTGGTAAAATTCTAGGCAGATAAATAAAACACAATTATTTCTTGACTTTTTCATTTTAAATTGTGTGTGTGTGTGTGTGTGTGTGCGCACGCATACATTTTGCCTGGATATATGTCTGTACATCTAGAGGATGTATGTCACATCCTCTGTGTCCACAGAGGCCAGAAGAGGTCCCCCCCAAACTGGAATTACTTACTATTGTGAGCTGTCATGTGTGTGCTTGGAACTGAACCCAGGTCCTCTGGGAGAGCAACCAGTACTCTTAACCACTGAGCTACTTCTCCAGCCCCTGTTTCTTGATGAGATAATTAATTAATTCACTCAAAGAGTTTTTTGAGTATCTATTACGTGCAAAGAATCAGACTGTAATCTGGGGTGATGAATACTAAAATGATTAGACCATCCTCCGTGCTTTTTAACCTGTAAACTATGTAGTGATGTAAACAAAAGGTTGTGTTGATTACATCAACATATCAATGCAACAAAAATTAATCAGATATATTCGATAAATTATTATTTCTAAAAAAAATGCATGCTGTACACGAGTGAGAAGACCCTTGTCAATAAATCTAGGGTCCTGTATCCCTTTGTGGTCCATAAGATAGTAGCTCTAAGCTTAGGCTGCCTTTCCTCTATGGAACAAGTTATGCCTGCATTCTAGTCCTTGGGTTCCCATTGAACAGTGTTACAAATCTATGTAGCACTGGGCTGTGGGAATGCACAGCAGAAAGTTCCTGACATGTAGCCCTCCATCATTAATGAGGTGTCTTCTCACGAGTGGTTTCATTTTTCCTTACTCTAATAGTCCCCTAGCAGGAGAAATTCTGGGAGATGGCCAGCAAGCATGGGAAGGCAGGTATGTCAGTGAGGTTTTGTGTTGTTGTGTCCAGAATCACTCTTCAGGAGAAAGGATTTACTCCGGTCATAGGTTCATAGTCTTCAGTCTGTACTTGCTTGGCTATGTGTTTTAAGATCCACTATGAGGCAGAACATCATGACAGCAGGAACATTCTCCACCTCTCAGCTGGCAAGAAGCAGAAATAGCAATAGAAGAAGAGGCCTGGGTTCCACAGTTCTCAATGATGCATTCCTACTGACCCACTTCCGCCAAGTGGGTCCCACTTTCTGCTTTCTCTACTTCCTAATAACAAATTGTCCATTGCAAGTCTAACGCACTGATTGTTAGAGATGGCTGAGCAAGCTGTCTCAGTAAATGGCCCCACAGGCTCAGCCAGGAGTGTAGTTCACTTACCTTTGGGGTATTTATTAACCCAATCAAGTTGATAACAAAAACTCACCATTATACAAAGCCACTTGTCTCTCAGTCAGGGCCCTTTCCATGTCTTTGATGGTGTCTTGGGGCTTTTATAAGCTTCGGTGGTAACCAAGCATGGACCATTCCCCTATGTTCAGGGGACGGGTGTAGGAAGAGGCTTTGCCCATTTTGTTAGACATCTGTAGTGACACCTATTAAAATTCTCCTGATCTGATACTTCTTTATTCCTCTTGTATCTCTGTTGTTATGTATCCACTGAAACAGAGTTAATGCTTTCTAGCTTTAGAGCCTCAATTCCAGAGTTAGAGCCTGCTAATCCATCAGGTTTAATCCTTAAAACAATGGAGTCATTTATTAAATTCCATTACCAGATAAAAGCTTAATATTCAAACAGAATAAAATAAGGTCAACAAGAAAGGTGTTAAGAATTGCCCTCTGAGTCTCCTTGAGAGTGCCATCATTTTCTACATGCAAGGTGGCAGCAACCTGCTCTCTTCTGGTCAGAAGGGAGCCTCACTCTAGAAAATGAGACTATCCCCTGATTCACTTCAGAGGGCAAAAACCAAACTCATCCAGTAACTCATACTGAGGTTTCTGAAGAAACGGCTGGGTTCTCACTCAGATGGTGAGGTGTGGGAAGTCAGAGTAGAAGGTAGCCATGACCTAAACAGGAAAGGACTCTAGGCATTGGTTAGGGCACAGCAAGGCACTGCTGAGACCAGGGAGGTCTCCTGCTAAGGTTTAGTAAATGAAAACTCAAGACGCCTGCTGAAATTAATTCCAAATAAATGAGAATAACCTTTTGAGTGTGAGTATGTGTAACATTTAGATAGCTCTTATACTTTAAGCGCCTGGGGGGCCAGAAATGTTTCAGTTTCTCTTAAATTTTGACATATTTGCATATATATGAAATGAGCTATACTGAAAATAGCACCAAAGTGCATGGGTAGACCTCACACATGTAGTCTAAAGATGATGGTATACAAAGTTTTTAGTCTAGCTATGAAACCAGGTCTGGCACTTTCTACTTGTGATGTCATGCGCATGATCAGGATTCTGGGGTTTTTGAAGCATTTGCAATGTCAGAATTTTAGATTAGAGAATTTCAATCTGTATATGAATTTCAAGTTTAACTTGCTAGCCTGTAATTTATGGATAATGTAGCCTGTCTGTAGCAGCTGTCTAGGGGAATGCTCACTTTGCTCCTTGGCATAAACAAAGAATTGAATGACAAAGAGAGACAGAAGACCATGAGAAAAGGCATACAGTAGCTTTACAGACTCAGAGTGGGAGGAGCCTAACGCCGGAAGTCCATTAAACAGACATGGCTTAGGTATTTTATAGGATGCTCCTCTTTTCCCCTTGTTGGTCCTGTCTGGATACCCACCCCAGTGCCGGCTTGCTGTTTCTCTTCATGGTATCTTCTGAGAACAGGAAGCCATAGTCTCAGGAGTCTTCCCTCACGTCCCCTGCGTACTCACGTTTCCTGCATACTCACATTGCGCTGATGTTTCTCCACTGCTGAAGTGTTGAAATGTTTCCTGACATTTGGAAGTCAGCATGCAAATCTCTCTGCTTCCACATAAGACACTCCCCCCACCTCCCACGATCTCCACCCTATTCTGTGTCAGTACCTAGTGGCTTTGGACACAAGGTGAAGCTGGAAGAAAGAGCATCTATTTCCTTAATGGCATTTGCAATCGTTATGGCTTGAATCTGAAGCGTTCTCCATAGGTTCATGCTTTGAGCACGTGGTCCTCACGCGCTGTGGTATTTGGGGGACTGTGGAACCTTAGGAGGTATGACCTGGCTGGCTGATGCAGATAACCAGGGTTAGAGTCAGTATCTTGTTCCTGTTACTCTTCCTGCTTTCTGGTCCACTATGATGTGAACGTCCTTCTCCACGCACTCTTGCTGCCATGATGTCCTAGCCTCCCCTCCCCGCCACAATGGGTTTGATGCTCTTAAAATCTGATTCAAAGCAAATCTAGCAAGCATTTTGGTCATAGCAACTCAAAATAATTAATTCACTAATTTTCTTCCCAGTTTACACAACTAAATCCAACAATCATACATTTTTTTCCTATGATACAAAACCTTACCTTGTTTCTTGATCATGTATATCAAATGTACATTAGTAGAACATTTATTTCTCCTTAAATAATTAGTTTTTTCATAATTGACAATGAACATTTCTTATACTCCAGACAATGGTTTGTAGGAATAGGCATGAGCCCCTTATTTTGTACAGAATAGTTTTTATTTAAAATATAAGATTAAAAATTTAAGTCACTTCTGCATATATTAATTGTCATGGGAATTATTTTATGTGGATCTGATTAAATATCACTGAAAATCTATACACTGGTTTCTTTCTCCCCTCCCCCATCAGGTCCTGCCCCCTTCCTAATTTTCTCACAAGGAAACAGCATCTCTCGGATTGACCCAGATGGAACAAATCACCAGCAATTGGTTGTGGATGCTGGCAACTCAGTTGTCATGGATTTTCATTACAAGGAAGAAAGGCTCTACTGGGTGGATTTAGAAAGACAACTTTTGCAAAGAGTTTTCTTTAATGGATCAAGACAAGAGGTAAAGTACCGTTTCCCCCATGGTATGTGAAGAGTTTATACAAAATCTGACAAATGTGACATACTGAACTTCTTTCTTTCTTCCTTTCTTTCTCTCTCTCTCTCTTTCTTTCTTTCCTTCTTTTAAATTTTAACTATTCCCTTTTTTAAAAAAGTTATTTGTTTTTATTTATTTAACATATATCTGAATGTACACCTGCATACCAGAAGGGGGCATCATATTTCATAATGAGATGGTTGTGACCCATCATGTGACTGCTAGGAATTGAACTCAGGACCTCTGGAAGGGCAGCCAGTGCTCTTAACCACTGAGCCATCTCTCCAGCCCAAGGTACTGAATTTCTAACATGTAGATAATTTGTCTAAGGTCAGAGCTCTCTGAATGGGCCTGATCTCAGGAGCTAAACAGTACCTAATACTTGGACAGAGAGATACATGGAAATACATCATGGTTCAAAAGTACAGGTGTTACCTGCAGACATTTAATATACACCCATGGTGCTATACCACTGATCAAGCTTACAAACCAACATTTGTAAGCGTCTAACAGAAGAACATGAGAAAATAAGTGTAATCTTGAAAACATCTGATTTTGTTGAGAAGTCAGTTGCCATAAAGACATCACTTGTATTTTGTACCTCAGACAGTTTTGTCCCTCTATGAATATCTGACAGCTGTCCTTTTTGGCTGTCACAAGTAAATACAATAAGAGGATGAAGATGCTATGGGCATCTGGTGGGGCCAGGGCAAGGTTGTTAATCACTATCCTGTGCTGTGTGGCACAGCCCCATAGTGAAGCACTAACTTCAAGAGTCAATAGAGCCTTAGTCAAGAAAGTCTGTTTTATCTGTATACATTTTTCGTCTCATGTAGGGGGGAAAATGCCTGATAGTAACACACACACAAAAAAAGTTGGCTTTGTATTCTCAAAGTATTTATACTCTGGGGAAAAATAAATGAAGCCAAGGACAGATAAAAAAGTGTTGTATTTCAAGTACATACAAAGACCCTTAATCTTTCTCTTCAACTGGTAGAATTCAGCCGTGAGTCCCAGGAGGAATGTCCCAGGAGATGGATTACAGAGAGCAGGTGATTAGCAGAACCTCGAGCATTTATTCCCAACACAAAGTGCTCAGTGTTTGGGTTCCCCTCCCCCTTCCAAACCAAACCTCTCTCCTTCCAATTATCCCTAAAAGCTTCAATTAGGCGCTAATCTGTTTTAGCGCATCTCTAATACTGGCTAGCCACACTTTAACAAGTTCGGTTGTTCCTTCTGTACTCGTCAGCCGTCTGCTAGAACGGCGTGGAAATCTAAGAATTTAGAGGCTTCCTGTCACTAACCAAGGAAAAGCATAAGCAGTTGTGGATTTATGTCAAGGCCTTAGGAAAGGATTGACCTGGGACCTAATAACTCACCGTTACACCACCATCACCCCTTTGGTGGTTAAAACTTTAGAAAACAGTACACGCTGAACTGCCCACGCTGAACCGCCCACACCGAACGTGAAAGCAATTTAAAGGGAAGGGCTAATGAGAGAACACAGAGTTGTTTAAGCATTTGGAGATCTAACACAGCTCTGAGTCTGTGCCAACGCTACCCAGCTCCAAGCTCACCGATGTCCTAAAGGGAGCTGGAACCACAGTGGTAGGGTTAAGACACCACAGGAACCGGTGAGGGTAAAAACCACGCCTTCCTCCTACCTTGCACAACCCAAGCCCCAAGGAACTAATTGATTTGCTCAGGTTGGACTCAAGAGTACAGATTGTTTTGTTTGGTTCTTTCAAGAACATGGAGGGGACAGCTTAAGACATAGAAGGAGAAACGCTGTTTCTCTGGTGTCATTGAGATCTGGAGGAAGAAAGGGACTTGATGGTAGAAGGGTGGGCAGAGGAAAACCGGGTTCCATAACAAAACTGCTTCCAGAGATGGCAGCTATAGCTCAGTCTATAGAATGTTTGCTCGGCACACATAAAGCCCTGGGTTTTAGGCCTGTTATCGGAGCGCTCAAGAGACAGAGGCAGGTGGATCCGGAGATCAAGGACATCCTCAAACTTAAACAGTTCAAGGTCAGACTGGAGTACCAGAGATCCTCTTTCAAAAAGGGCTTCCACATCATGACTCTGCTCAGACCCCAATGGAATTTTACCAGAGTTTGGAAAAGACCTAAATTTGAATTCATGTTAGGATTTCATCAACAAATGGAATTTTAAAAAAAACTGTTTTAAGCATTTAAAAAATCTGTGAAAAATATATTATGGCTGATCTTCTAATTTCAATAGTATATAGGGTAGTTTTAGGTTTCAAAGCTATGACACAAAAAGCCTAGTCACAAGGAGGGGTGTACTGTTGCTGAGTCGAAACAAACTCACTCTGTGACTGTGTCATCATTTACAGGATGCACAGAATGCGTTAAAATGGCAAATAATAAGAGGACAGACTTTCAATGTGCAATAAAGTAGCAATTTCATTGTGAATTGTGAATATTCATAATGGTGAAATTTGGTCTTGCAGACAGTGTGCAATGTAGAGAAGAATGTTTCTGGGCTGGCCATAAACTGGATAGATGAAGAGGTCCTCTGGGCAGACCAACAGAACGGAGTCATCACTGTAACAGATATGAAAGGGAACAATTCCCGGGTTCTTCTAAGTTCCTTAAAACATCCAGCGAATATAGCAGTGGATCCAATAGAGAGGTAAAAATCTGTTTTGTTTTGGTTTAAAGGAGATTGAGCTTCAAAACTGACCAAGATTTGTACATTGTATTACTTGAAATGACTCCTGAGGGAGATGCAGGTCTTCTTTGACAATACCCAGGTGCCATTTTCCCCAAACAAGTGGCTGGATTGAGACTCTAGACAGTTCTCCCTGCCTGATGTTCTTCTATAAATGCTTAGTTTTCCTTCACACTTGAAATCACATGGCATTTCCAGTTAGAAGTACATACACAAATTTGAATTCTCATTCAAAAAAGTCAGATTCCCCTCTGCAGACACCAGAGGTGGAAGCCCCGAGAGGCCCCACTTTAGTGGCTGTTCATTCAGTTATGGTTGTGCGTGATGTGTTTATCCCCAGGTTGATATTTTGGTCTTCAGAGGTGGCCGGCAGCCTTCACAGCGCAGATCTCAGGGGTGTGGATGTAAAAACACTACTGGAGACACCAGAGGGGGTGTTGGCGCTGACTCTGGATGTCCTGGACAAACGGCTCTTTTGGGTTCAGGACAGTGGAGAAGGACGCCATGCTTACATTCGGTCCTGTGATTATGACGGTGGCTCTATCCATCTTATCAGACACCAAGCACAGTAGGTTTTGCTTTTGATGTGGAGCAAAAGAGTTGACGTTTGAAGCTAGTGTGACAAATTATCTTGTCAACTGACAAGGTATACTTGCTTACACGCAATCACCAATTAATTACCAGTGAGTGACATCGGACGCGTACCTTAATGTTTCCTGTTTTAGGTTTTCTTTAATGTGGTAACAGTACCTGTTTGTTGCCATTTTTTGCGAAGATTAAGGAAATGTATGTAAATAATACTAAGCAACGTGTGTAGCCTAGGATAAGCTCCCACAGGTTGATATTTGTCCTTCTCCTTCATTTTCTAATTTATTTGTGAGGCACTGTCTCTCGTGAGACCTGCTCCGGAGCCAGCTTGTGGAGAAAGCAAAACCTAGCCTGGTGAGAAGCTATCAAAACCAGCACTCCACTCCACTGACTCCTGCTTTCGCCTCCATTTTCATCACACTCGAGTGACGGAGGGACAGGAATCAAGTGGACGTAAACATTTTATCCTAATAGTTCCAAGTACGATGACATAAGCCAGATTTTAAACCGAATATGCTTTTCTAAACCAAAGAGATAATTAAAGATGAAGTGACTACAATTCAAACAGACAAAATAATTCCAGTGGGGGATTCGGCTTTAAAAATTCAGGTAATACATGCCCTGTTATTTAACCCTTCCCCACCCCACACTCCTTTTCTCTCCGGTTGTTTTTAGGCACAGTTTGTTTACAATGGCCCTTTTTGGTGACCGGATCTTCTTCTCAGCGTTGAAACAAAAGGCAATTTGGATAGCCAACAAACACACCGGGAAGGACACGGTTAGAATTAACTTCAGTCCGCCCTTTGTGCCGCCTGAAAAATTGAAAGTAGTACACCCCCGTGCACAGCCCCCGACAGAGGATGGAGCTCAGGGATCTGGTGAGTCCCTAGGTACCCGGCATGTATTCACTTCTCATGCCCTGGCCCAAGCTTAACTAGGAAGTGTGCTGTGTAGGAGGATAATTTTTTATTCAACCTCCATCAATTCTTAGCTAAAATGTAGTCCTGTAATAAGGCAGATTAAAGAGAGAAAAACATATTTGCCTTCATATATATGAGGGAGACAAACAGGATTCCTAAGGAAATTAAACCTGGGAAGTGACTAGAGTTAGTCAGTGATTCATTTATTTGGCTAATATTTACTGCTTAAGATTTACTTTCCTATGAATAATCGTTGTATACGTGGTAGTTAAAAACCCAAATAATAAAACAAAACCAAAATGGTTTGACTTGATATGCTTGCATGGTCTGTATTAACAGATGGGAAAAAGAATTTAAAAGAAAAAAAGCAAGTTGAGACATAATAATACCTTGTAATGAATTCAAGGAAGGGTATACTGAGAGCAAAGCTGGGTGTGAGGTGCTATTTGATTGGTTGCTTGAAAAAGACCCATCTGAGCACATGGCCGCTGAGAGAACATCCTCAAGGACAAGTTTTAAGAGAAGTGATGTGACAGAAAATGTTCTTTGAGTCCCCACTGGTGGCCTCCGTGGGTAGGAAAATCAATGGTGGACAAAGGCTGCTGGAAGCTGTTAGAATCTAGGTCTCTAGGATTGACTCCAGGCAAGGAGGGTGAAGCTGACTTTGGTAGTTTTATCCTTGCCCTCCCTGTGGGACACCTTGGTGAGACCATGCCTTACCTTAGGCAAGAGAGAGTGAGGGCAGAGATCTTGCCTGGGCTTGAAGAGGCTAAATTGCTTTCAGCTCAACTGTCTCGATATTTTGGGGGGCATAGACTGGTGGTATCCATTTTCCCCACCAAGTTCCTTCCATTCTACCTCCTAAGTTCATCTCAAATGCACAATTCTCTCTCTGCTATGCCATATTCATCAACAGACGGTCTGTCCTGCCTGGCCCACTATAGTGGTTGGTCACTAGCTGAACTGTTCCCCCCGCTTTAAATAACAAATCTGATTCGTCCACTCCTCTGCTTGAAATCCTCAAGGCTTTCCTTGGCGTTCAGATTGAAACTCACCATGGATCAGGCCTGCGATGTTTAACCAACTTGCTTTAGGATCCTTGCCCTATATAAGGGCTGAGGAAAGATGTCCTTCTGGTCCTTAGACAGCCCCTGCCCCTGGTGCTCCTGCCTTTAGGCTTCATTTAGTTCCTCTCTGCATGATCTGAGCGTGAGTGCCATGTGTGCTCTCAGATTGACACCCGAGTGAGTGCTCCCTCACCTTCTGCTTCAGAGAGAGTACTCCCTCACCTCC